GAAAAATGAGGACCTAATGTCGGGGGTTTAAATGGAGAGAAAATGTTTTGAGAAACGATGTACAAATGCGCTTTACACAATTGATGTGTATATGGATTGGGATAACAGTTGTATGAGCCCCTAATAAAATGTTAAAAAAAAAAAGAACTAGGAGACAAAAGACATTTATAGAGGTGAAAATATAGGTAATGTATATATATAAAACATTAATCTATAACAGTAGGGATATAGGTCTATGTACATATATTTATATGTTAAGTATCAAGGTAGCAGATGGACATTGGGCCTCTACACCAGTCCTCCCTCAATGCAAGAACACGGTTTTTTCTAATAACCTGGAATTCTGTGATACTCACCTTCCTGACACGATAGATGGCTGAAGTAAAAATGGGTGCATAATCAAATATGGTGAAGAAAGCTGATGGTGCCAAGCTAGTAGAAGATATAGCATCTGGGGTCTTAAAGATTTGAAGTTATACAAGCAGCCATCTAGCAGGGAAGCAACAAAGCCCACATGGAAGCACACCAGCCTGTGTGATCACAGGGTGTCAACAGGAGTAGGTATTATGTATCAGAAGACCCAAAACAAACAATCATAATATCAATGTAAAGTGTGGGGGAAGGGTGAAATGGAGACCCAAAGCCCATCTGTAGAGAACTGGACATCCCCTCACAGAAGGATCACAAGGAAGGAACGATCCAGTCAGGATTTGGTATAGCCCCAACGAAACACACAACATTCCTCCAGTTCTTTAAAGCTTCCTCACCCACCACTATCATGACCCCAGTTCTACTTTACAAATGCGGCTAGACCAGAGCATGTACAGGTAAGAGCTCTCAACAGACGGAATCCAGGACAGATTAAACCCCTTAGGAATGATGGGAGTAGAGATACCATGAGGGTAGGTGGAAGGTAGGGGAGAAGGGGGAGGAAGGGGGAACCGATCCCAATGATTGCCATATAACCCATCCCCCCATCCCCTGCAGGGGGACAAACAACAGAAATGTGGGTGAAAGGAGACAACAGTGTAAAATATAAAAACAATAATAATTTATAATTTATCTAGGGTTCATGAGGATGAGAGGGCAGGAGAGGGAAGGAAAAAAGAGCTGATACCAAGGGCTCACGCATAAAAAGAAAATGTTTTGGATAGGATGATGGCAACATAGGTACAAATGTGCTTCATACAGTTGATGTATGTATTGTTATAAGAACTATAAGAGCCCCCAATGAAATGATTTCTAAAATAAGAATGTTTGGAAATTGATTGTGGTAGCAAATGTACAATTCTGCTGGATGTGACTGAAATATGGAATGATTTGATATATGTATTAAGCCCAATTACTAATAAAAAAAAGAACTGCAAAAAAAGGCAGGGGCAGGATCTATCAAAGCAGTGCTTTCTTCTTTGTTCATGACAATTGCCATGAATCAGAACCAATTCCAGGGTCTCAACAACACGGTGAAGGTGTGCCCCAAGGCTAGATTTAAAGAGCCCTGGTGATGTAGTGGTTACTCCTCAGGATGGAGTCCAGCAAGGTCAGCAGTTTGAACTCACCAACGGCTCTGTGGAAGA